ATTTCAAATGTTTTTCCTTTTTTTGTGTCTTTCCTTGAAGTCTTTCTTTCATTATTAATGTCGGTTAGCTTAAAAAAAAAAGAACGTTAATATATATATATATATTTTTTTTTCTTTGTGTCTATGTGTGTATATAATATCTATGTGTATGTATTATTTGCCCATTAGAATACAAAAACAAAAAACTTTTGAAAAGAAAAAATAGCACTAAGCAACAAATATAATGGGCTTCTCCTTTTTTTTCTTCTTTGTTTCTTTGTTTTTTTTTGCATTTTGTTATTACTGTTGATGTTTGAGAAATTATCATTCTAGATATATTTATTGATGGGTATTAAACAATATAAATTCTTGTGGGTTATTTCGATAGTTTGAAAAATGAAAAAGAAAAAATGATTCATATTGTACTACCGACATTTGATTACTGATTGTCGAACGACTATCGGTATACTGTAGTAGAATGTAGGAGACTTAGCTCACTATTCAAGTGTCGAACTAACGCGGTTTGATCATCGGTATACGGGGATGATTTTTTTGTCACTATAGACAAATATCGACAGTTTTCGTTCGATTCGAATCCCATAGGTACAATATAGTGGATCATTGTATAAGTGTTTTGATTTATTGCATGGGTATGGATTGGCAATGTCGATCTTATTACAGGAATTGTATTAAATATATATTTTGTTTATTTTTTCAAAAAAAAGTTTTTAGATTTCAAAAAGTTAAGGATACAATTTAGATTTTTTAAGAAATGAAAAATAAATATCAATAAAATGTTTATGAATGTAGTTTTAAAACGGAGTGTTTCAAAATTGTATCATTTGATATGCTTCTATTAGTTATCAAAAATTATAAGCAAGTTCCTTTCAAAGTTGATACACTTTTCTAAGTTTATTTTTATTGTTTTATATTAGAGATAAAGTTTCCATTATGCATTTAAAAATCATAATGAGAACTGAATGATTATTTTTAAATAGATGATAGCTTTACTCGATTATAAGATCAAGAAACTTCTAAATTTGTGTGCTCATAGATATCAGTGAATGTTGAATCATTCAACAAGTTTAGGCTTCTTTGCCTGAATGATTCGTTCTTTTTTGTTTGTATCAAAATATAATCTTAACTCTCCTCTATCTACAAAAAGAAATTGAAGTGGTAGCTCTTAATAATTTCTGCTTCACCCTAACATCCAAATCATTTCATTTACTTTGCATCTTTTTCACTTTCTATTATATATGCAAGCAATATGAAAAGCATAGAAAACAATTTATATTGTAGATAAAATTTCGATATGTCTTCAAGTTCATCTTCAGCTACAACAGCTAGTAATAGTAATAAATCTGATAAGAAAGCAATATTTACTGATGCTGAAGTGAATATTTATTTAATTATTATTTTCTTTTCTATTTATTATATAATTATCTCTTTAGATCGATGCATTTCAAGGTCTTGATGTCTCACGTTTATCATCTGAAGATATTATTGCTCGAACACGTTTGTTAGATAATGAAATAAAAGTTTGTATATTTATTATTATTTACATAAATTTAAATTATAAACAAAAACAAAATTTTATAATTTAAGATAATGAAAAATGATATTGTACGAATTTCACATGAAACACAATCAACACGTGATAGAATAAAAGAAAATAAAGATAAAATAAAAGTTAATAAAACATTACCATATCTTGTGTCAAATGTTATTGAAGTAAATTTTTGTGATCTTTTTGTTTTTCGTTTTAATTAATATATACATATATATTTATTTGATTTAATTTAAAATAGTTATTTGATCTTGATCCACAAGGTGAAGAAGATGAAGGTGCAAATATTGATCTTGATGCTCAACGTAAAGGCAAATGTGCTGTTATTAAAACATCAACACGACAAGTAAATTTATTTGAATAAATAGATTTTTATTTTTCCCATCTTTTCTATTGTCTTCTTAGACTTATTTTTTACCAGTTATTGGTTTAGTCGATCCAGAAGAATTAAAACCAGCTGATTTAGTAGTAAGTTTTATTCATAAGAAAAAAAAAGTCTATTTTTTATTATAAATACACAAAAAAAACCATCATTTAAGGGTGTTAATAAAGATTCATATTTGGTATTAGAAAAATTACCTGTTGAATATGATTCACGTGTAAAAGCTATGGAAGTTGATGAAAGACCAACAGAACAATATGGTGATATAGGTGGTTTAGATAAACAAATTCAAGAATTAATTGAAGCTGTTGTTTTACCAATGACGCATAAAGATCGTTTTGAAGCACTCGGTATACAACCACCAAAAGGTGTACTTCTTTATGGTCCACCTGGTACTGGTAAAACATTATTAGCTCGTGCTTGTGCTGCACAAACTAAATCAGCTTTTCTCAAGTTGGCTGGACCACAACTCGTACAAATGTTTATTGGTAATAAGAAAATAAAATGACAAAAAAAAAACAATAATTCAAAATTATTATTTTTTATTAAGGTGATGGAGCTAAATTAGTTCGTGATGCATTTGCATTGGCAAAAGAAAAAGCACCAGCTATTATTTTTATTGATGAATTAGATGCTATTGGAACAAAACGTTTTGATAGTGAAAAAGCTGGTGATCGTGAAGTACAAAGAACAATGCTTGAACTTCTTAATCAACTTGATGGTTTTCAACCTAATCATGATATTAAGTAAAGAAAAATAAATAATAAATAATTTTTTAATTGAATATGTTAATTAATTAATTAATTAATTAATTTTTTAATAGAGTTATTGCTGCAACAAATCGTGTTGATATTCTTGATCCAGCTCTTTTACGTTCTGGTCGACTTGATCGAAAAATTGAATTTCCTCATCCAAATGAAACGGTAATTATATATCATTAATATGAAATTAAGTTTATCTTAACATTCATAAATTGCTAGAACTTTAAAAAAGGAAGTTCTCTAAGTAATCAATCGCTTTTGAATCTAGACTATGTACTTCATACAGATCATAATGAACTATAAATACTCTGAAAACACTGTCGAGTCTTTAGAGCTTAGTTCTGTCGAGATATTGCATTAGTACGGTATTTTTTAAATTAATGCTATGACCTCCCTCTTAAGAAAAATTATTTTCGAATTTCGATTTGAAACTTTGCATAGAGACAGACCTTAACAAGAATAGTTTCTTATGAAAGTTTCAGATCATTTCCTTGTTCCTATCGTAAGACACAGTTATGATAAAAGCTTGCCTTTTACATTGCTCATATACATCAGCAGATTTGATGTTCTTATTTCAGAAAAGGAATAAATAAAAGAAACTTAAAACTTTCACAATAAACTATTCTCGTTAAGATCCGTCTCTATGCAAAGTTTCAAGTCGAAATTTGAAAATGAGTCTTACCTGTGTTCTTGAAGGAAACCACGGTATTGACTTAAAAACTCCGTAAAACTTTAATATCTCAGTAGCAATAAGTTCAAAGAACCTAAATTGTTTTCAGGGTATTCATTACACATTAGAGTCTACATGATGCACATAGTTCAGACTTCAAAGGGATTAATCATTTAAAGAACTTCTCTCGTTAGTCAATAGTCAAATGTAATAATTGATCTTGAAAATTTATAATCACAATTAAATATTAATATTTAAACTTAACTACAGTATGAGATTGAAAGTTAATCATCTTACTGATTCATTTCGTGAGTAATGTTATTGTTTATAGAAACTTATGAGATTTTTTACAAGAGATGATTATGAATAAGTATGGAATTTTACACCGATAAAGTTCGTATGAGTAATATGTCTCTCAGATTTCAACACCTTGGAAAGGTTTCTATATATTATATTTTAAACAGTGAATTCTTTATTTTTCTATGCATATACTTTATAAATAAACTACTATAAGATGTTCTTTAGCACAGTGAAAATCATATTGATTTTTTTGGCATAAATAATGCTCAAAGCCATTTGTGATCATTCATAAAGATAAACAATAGAATACAATCACTAGTTATTCTATCGATCATATCATACAAATGACTATAGTATTCTAGATTCTTTTTAACACTATAATATCTCAAAAGATTTTTCTAACAAGTATATTGTTCAATATGCACTATATGAAATAAAATAATTATTCATAATCAACAATGAAATTTTTCTATCTCCATCATCTATAGATCAAATTCATCAATCATTTATATTTTTGGTTTTTTTTTTTGATATTAATCTATTTAATTTTTAGGCTCGAGCACGTATTATGCAAATTCATAGTCGTAAAATGAATACAAATAAGGATGTGAATTTTGAAGAATTAGCTCGTTGTACAGATGATTTTAATGGTGCACAATGTAAAGCTGTTTGCATTGAAGCTGTTCGTATTATAAACATAAATATTAAAAAAAAAAAACTCGTGAAATAAAAATATTGTTTTCTTTCTAGGGTATGATTGCTTTACGTCGGGGAGCTGTTGAAGTTCAACATGAAGATTTTATGGATGCTATTCTTGAAGTACAAGCAAAAAAGAAAATGAATTTGAATTATTATGCTTAATACAATCAAAGATTTCTTTTTCTATTCATAGTTCAATCATACATTTACATTGTTCTATTTTCTTTTTTTTTTTAAACGTACAGAAAGAAGAAAAAAATCTAGCTAAAAAATACATTTAGTGGCACTTAAAATTATTCATATATTGTACAGATGTTCTATTTCTGCTAGGATACAAATGTTTTAATTGTAGGTTCTACTAAAGTATATAGTAGAAAGTGTAGTTTTCATGTCGTCGAACGGTTGAAATTTATTATTTGAACTCTTTGAATCAAACGAAAATATAGAATTTTACTCTTAGTGAAAAGTAAAGTTCAAATGATTGGGGTATTTATTTTAAATTCAAATCAACTATAATTATGAATTGAGTTCTAAAATTTATTAACGAATAATTAAAATTTATCGGTTTTTCGCAGTGATTGCTCTCTTTTTGAAACGATCATATGATATGTACGATAAACGAATGGTATTTTCCAGAGGAAATCAACCATAAGTTATATTAAAGAGATACTCAGGAGGAACATTTGTCTGATTGCTCGGTGGAAAATAATCTAGAAAAACAGTTAAAGAAAATGGTTCATAAAGAAAAAAAAATAAAACTTACTATAATGAGCAAGATTTCCAACTCCAATACCAATAGCAACTCCTACTGTAACAAATGCTAATGTAATGAGAAAAATAATTCCAAATCTACGTGTTGCTGGATCTCTTAGAAACAAAAAAAAAGAACAGCAGTTAATCGAATAAAAATATATTTTTTTATCTTAATCTACCTTTGAACTGTAGGAATTACAGGAACCAACGATGCTTGATTATGTTGCATGATGATCAATTATTGAAAAAATTATATTAGTTTAGTTATATACAAATCTTGTGAATCCGGCTGATGATAAGAATAATATTTAACATTGCTATTTGTTTTTCTGCTATATTCAATGACAAAATATTAATCTTTTTTTGCTAGTCACGCACCAACGACCAAAAGAAAAAATAAATATTACTCGTGGTCGTTTCTTTTTATTTTTTTGTTCTTTGCTTCGCTATTTTTCTTTTATACATTATCAATTATATCTATATATTTATATTTATTAAACTCTTATTTTTCATAATAATAATAATAATAATAAAAAAATCTCTAATTTACTAAAGATCATTTCATTAGAAATTTTAATAGCTAATAAAAAGACTTGAGTGATTTATTTTCAATTGAAGGACTCAATAAGAAAAAAAAAGAAATACTTTGTTATTTTTTTTTATATGAAGGTTAAAACTATAAGTATATAATATCAGAATCTCAGGCGACGTGACAAATGAAGAAAAGTATTTAAACCTTTATGTTCGAAATTACTATGTGAATAATTGAGAGATATAAAAAGTAAATTCACACAAGTTTAAGCACTTCTTGCTCTATAATTAAAGCCTAAAAGTGTTTTTTTTTTCAAACTGAAGGTATTAAAACTTATATTTGATTATTCTATATCTAAATGATCAACGTAAGGTCAAGTAAAAAGAACTTCTTATAAAAACATAATGGCGCCTGTTTATTTAACTAAATTTTAAAACTCATGTTTATCACAAGTATTCTCGTTTCAATTTGGCTAAATCTATTCGATAGATATTATACATTTCTATTTAGCATATTTTTTATTTTTGTGTTTATTATGGAGATTTATATTGATTTTATTTCTATTTCTACTTATTTATCATTATCTTGGTTTCGTATGAATAATAATCAATTAATTCATTGTCCATTTAAATTTCTTTGGTCTTATATAATAAATAATCCTATATTGACTGAACAAAATTTACCTTTATCATCAAATGAATATACATTTGAAACATCAAATATTTCATTACAAAATCCATTTCGTCGTTTAATGCTTTCAAAAATACAAAATCTATTTCGAAGACCAATATCCAATACAAATAAAAATTCTGATGATGACAATAATAATAATAAATATTCATTATTTGATTATCGTTGTCCTATATGTCTTAATAATAAGCAATATTCATTTCGATGGATTGCACTTGGATGTGGTCATATATTATGTTCATTATGTACTCAACATCTTTATTTTGGCAATAAACCAAGTTGTCCTAATTGTCGATCACCTATTATTCTTTCTGACTTAACAATTCTTTATATTTGAAAAATTATAAAATATTTGTTTTTTGTTGTATTGTTAAAGCATATGTGAACAAAGATCCGATTTCAGAATTCATATGTATTCGATAGTATATCAATTTTTTTCTTTTGATTACATAAAAAATGACTGGCATGTCCTCTCTGTTACCTGTTATTATCATCTTTCTCTTTACTTTTCTCTAAAAAACAAAAATTAATAAAATGAAATACAATATATACATGGTACCCCGTCGGTAAATTGAAATGGCTTTCTGTATAATCGAAAAAAAAAACTCAAGGAACCGAATGAGAAACCTACTATTTTTTTTTCTTGTCTCATTATAGTCTTGTTCTTGTTTGCTTGATTCATGTTGTTCTAATGTCTTAGATTGTGTAAAATAAGAGGAGAAGAAGAAATTGACTGTTAAATTGAAAACGTGATTATATAGAGAAAAAAAAAACAAGAATAAGTAGATCGAATGAATGATGCCATTCAACATTTGTTTTTGTCGACAGCCAACAAACGACACAAATTCTTGTTGATTGAAAGTATGCGCATAATAAATTTTTAGCTTGATCAAGCACAAACAAATATATACTTATTAACAGATCGATTGAAGAACAATAGAAAAAACAATCTACAAATATGAATAATCCATATATACCATTGATTGATCATCGTGGTATTTTTAGTAAAAAGCGAATGCATTTACAACCAATGGTAAATATTTGATTACATTGCTTTAAAAAAAGTATTGTTTTATATTTTCGAAAAATTTGTACCTAAAACATAAAATATATATTTTATAAAAGTAATTTTTTTTCTTATCGTATTTGCATAATACAAAAAAAATTTTAATTTGTATACTCATCTTGAAAGAAGACTAATCAATGCTTTTAATAAAAATCTATAATAACATAAAAATTGAACTAATGCTTCAATGATAATTTAGTTTAAACTAATCATTTTGATAAACATATTTCTAGTTGCCAATTCCTGTTACTTATGAATCAGCAGCTATTCCTAAATTTGCACCATTTGGTACTGAATATACACCTGATCATAAAATAAGAATAATTGGTGGTCGTTATATAGCAGTTCCTGATTCAACTACTGAATTATTAATAAAAAACACGTAGGTGTTTTTTTTTCACACAATAAATGTATCTAATTATTTCACTTGCTTATTCAAACAATCAGTTAATTCTGATACAAAAAAAAAATCTTTTTCTTTTGATTAATTTCATATTTGCATAATTGATGTTGTTCTTATAAGGAAGAGAAGAAGAGAAAAAAAAAATCTGAATACTATTAAGATTGCAAGAAATAGTCAAATAAAGAATTCACATATGCTCTTCGTCTTCTCTTTCTTTTGTTCCGGTGTAAAACAAATTTAGCAATCAGTGAAAAAAAAAGTTACCCAAGCAACTGACTTTACTATTCTTTACCGTCGATAAAAGAGGTAGAGTAGTAACAACAACAAACATACATATAAGCATACAACAGACGAATAAAGAAAAATACGAAAGGTGTCTGGTGTGTGTATGTTGACGATTTTGTTAAAAGGATCAATCACTTCTTTTTTTTTTCTTTTTCAAATCAAAAAAGACGTTTTAAGTATCTCGATTCTTAATGGCATTTACACGCTTTTATCCAGTTTCAGGTCTTATTTAGTGAGATAATCTTTGTTTTTCTTTTATTTACAATAAATAAATTTTTATTATTAATACTCTTTAGTGATCCTGATCTAGCACCAACAAAAGCTATTCAAAATGTTCATGCACATGATTATGCTCAATGGCCACAACCATCTAAACAAAGATTTGATACAACATATCGTAGTGAATATATCAATCGTATTCGACATCCAGTATGTATTCATAAAAATTTTTGTTTTTTTCGTTTTTGTTTTTTATATAGAAAAAAAAAAGATAATTACTAAATAATTCAATAATAAAAAAGATATCATAATATCTATCTAGGAATATATCCCATGGTATCAGCAAAAACTTCCGGTAATTTAAACTAACACTCAACCTTCCATGTATTTTTTTTTTCACTGTCGTAGAAAATATATGCTTAATATTATTATCACATATTTATTTTTGAACTTAAATAAAAATTTTCTATGAATAAAAGAATAAAAAAAACATAGAAACTCTCTGAACACGACATTTTCATTTGGCTTTAGTTACCACAAAAGGATAAAACCAGATTTACATGTCTAATTTAATGAGCTCTTATAAAAACGCGAGTACTTGAATATTTTAAAGCTATTCAAGTCAATAAAAAAAAGAAAAATTCGTTTTTCTCTTTTTGAAAAAAAAATATTTGCGTTTTATTGATTTGTTTATATATTGTGATATAAGTAAACATTTCAAACCCATCGAAAAAAAAAAATTGTTCACATGTTCTCCTCTCAAACTTCTAATTGCGATTATTTTGTTTTGTAGCAATTATTATTTTCTTGCTTTACCCTTTTTCTATTTGAACAACATTAAACTTTTCTGCTTACAAAACAACATTAATTCGTTTGTATTAGAACTAGTTTAATGTTGTTTTTTTTTTGTACACATAAAATACCATAGATTATTTTTCTTGTAAAACATCAAGAAGAATATTTTTTTTTATTCAAATCAACAAAAAAAGTCACACCGTCCAGTTATTTTTTCTATTGAAGAACAGAATTTTAAAAAAAAAATTTTTTTTTAATTTTCTTTTAAATAGGATGAAATTGCAAGGCCTATTCGAAATACAAAAAGTTCACTTAATCAATATGCTATCTTACCACCAATTCTTTCAGCAACTACTACTACTACAAATAATAGTTCTAATAATGCAGAATCTGCTCGTAGTACCAGAACAGATGTTCAACAGCAACAACAACAACAACAACAAATAATTAAAGATCAAGAAGTACCAATTAATGAAATCAAATCTAAAGATATACAACCATTAAATTTTCATAATATTACGCAAAATTCTTATAATTATCAGCAACAATCAATGATGAATAATATCGATACATATTTACCTGAAGAACCTATTTTATTAACTGATTATGAAGAACAACGTTTATCTGAACAAATTTATAATCAATTAAGATCTGCAACAGTTGTTGATAGATTAAAATTATTTTATCAAGAATTAATAGCATATGATCCAAATTTAACAAGTTATGTACATTATTCAGTAATTCAATCACTTGTTCATCAACTTGGAGTAATTTCTTTTATTTTCTTTATAAATAATACTCTTATAAAATTATTTTCTTTGTTAGTTAAATTTACAAGATGATACACTTCGTTTTGCTATGTGTAAATTTATTTCACCAGATCAAGCACGTGGTTATGTTCAATATGAAGATATGATTCGATATTTTAGCAGATGTCTTGCATCAATATATCCTAATCAATATGGGTGAGTTATATTCTTTATTAATTTGAGAAAATTAAAGTTCAAGAAAAAAAAATAATAATAAAAATAAAAAATAATCATTTTTTTAAATTCAGTCCTTCACAGTCTTATGATTCTTCGGTTTATCATCATTCGAATATTCATGGTTATCATCAACATGAATGTCGATGTCGACATCAAGATAAATCATCTTTTAATAATCCTTGTCCTATTCATCACTATAATCGTTAAATGTCTAAAAGTGAAAATTTAAACTGAATGCAGTGATTTCTTCTTTTTTTTTCGTACTTTAAATATATTCTTAAATATAACAGCACATTATCTTATTTTCGATGTCGTCAGTTATCGCTTTATAGGAGCCGACAGTACCAGCATGGTAGGTTCTGGTCACTGCATTCCATCTATCACGATTTGTATACTCAAGGGTAGGTATGATTATATAAATGAAGAACAAAAACATTTATCTTCTATTATTTATTTATATATAATGCTTGATCGTCATTCGCTCTTTCGATATGTCTATTTCTCGCTCCTTACACTTTTGCTTGCATGCTACCTGTGCAATGCACAATAATTTTAAATGCATGACATTCAATTCTTAATAAAAAAAATTTTCTTTCTTGTCTTTTTTCTTTCAACTGACATGTTATTATCATAAATTATTTTCTACTAAATAGTCAGCAGCAAAGTCTAAGTCAGAAAAGAGAACTATTATGATAATGATTCTTATAGTCGACATTCAACTTTATCAAGACAATATCAAACGGGAATGAGATTCGGTAGTAGTGTCGTTAATGATGATGATGATAATGAAAGTTTCGATCCTGATGAACGACAAGTTCGAATTTTATTAAAACAAAATTTAAAATATTTTGATATAAATGGTGCAATTGATTTTGATAAATTATATCGTGAATTTAAAAATACAGATCGAAATCAAACTGGTATTTTAAATCGACAACAAATCGAAGAAGTTATTTATAAAGTTCGTATACCATTACAACGTTCATTAATATTTCAAATACTTGAAAAACATTGTCGAGCTTATTTAAGATTATATAGGTAAATATATATTTTTTTAATTGAAACAAAAAAAATTTTTTTTTCTTTTCTATGATAATAAAAAATGAATAGATGGGAAGCTTTCTTTCAATATTTAAAAGAACAACTTCTTGATATAAGAGAAGTTCAAGATCGATCAAGTCCAATTTATACACAAGTAAAACATAGAAGACATCATTTTATTTCATATATATATGTATAAAATTTAAATGTTTTAGCGTACTCCAACTCGTAGTCAATGGCTTGATTTAATTCGAAGAGAATATACTGAAAATGGTCGTGTACGAATTATTGAACGATTTAGTACACATAATGAAGGACCACGATTAGTAAATAATTGATAAATCGAAAAAAAAAACAAAATTGTTTTTGTTTGTTCATTCTAGGAAAGTAATAATCCATCTGCATGGTTTGCACGTTTTTTACGCCTTGCCAATGCTATGTATAGTCATCGTGCTAGCACAAATAGAGAACGTATGTAGAATATAATTATTAGACGTTTCTGTATTTTTCTTTTTTTTTGTTTTCAGATGATTTTTTATTACCTCGAGAAGAAGCTCGTCGATTGTTTCGTGCTTATAATCAAGTGTGGGATTTAAAAATTGAAGAAGACAAATTACAACGAGTACTTGATATATGTGGTCGTGGTGGAAATACTGCTATTGACGATGCACTTAAACTACTTGCCAAATGAACAAAGCATTTTAGTTATACTTTTAGAAGTTTTTTTTCTTTTTTCTTTTTTTGAATTAAATATTCAATTTTTGAATAGTTAATGTTATATAACTATAATAAAAGAAAAAATAGGTGTTCCTTTACAAAAAAATATTAATAATGATTATGTAAATTGTTTTAAAACTATTTATAAAAAACTAAACTTTTGTTTGCATATAATCTTTATTTCATTTTGAAAGACTAAATTTTTATACTAACAGAAATAATTATTTTTTTCTTTATTTAATTTTATCAATTAATTAAATCATTACTTGATTCATATTCTACTAAATTATCTTTAGAATTCATTTGAATATTATCTTATAATTTATTGAAAAGAATTGATAAATTTCTAAAGATAAACATTTCTTGAAATTTGACAAAAAAACAAAATACAAAACAAATTCTACGGTTAAGAAATCTCTATTCCAGATTCATTTAATCATAAGTAATGTATCCAATCATCTAGATACATAAATAATTATTTTATATAGAAAAAAGAATTTTCTTTAAAACATTAATAAAAAAAATGTTGTATATAACATTAAAAATTACCATGATAAGTGGAATGTAATCGTAATATGTTATATGACTTTTCGATTTATTACATTATTATTAAAAAAAATAAAAGAAAAGAAAAAGAAACAAATTGTTTTTAAAATTCAATACTAAAATATCTATAGGATAAAAGAGAAAAAGAAGATGTTCTTTGATGTATGCCTAATCCATTCATTAACAATATATGAATCTATTTTTAATATGAGAATAATATTATATTTCTTCAATGTTTTTCATTTGTGAAGATGAAAATAAATACATTCATTAGATATTCATTTTTCTTCTCTTTGTGAACTAAAATCTCGGTCAAATTTTTTTTTCCTTCTACTCAAGATTCAGACATAGAGGAAGACTGAACACATAATGTTTATTGCTAATTTACTATGATTTATTCATGATGTGTGTATAGTGGGTCATTTTATTGATGTACCATACAGTTTTTTTTTTCTCTTTCGCTCTTTTTTTTTTCTCATCTCAACTTAAGAGTAGAACGATGCCGTCGCATGCTGATTACATGCCTTGCAGTGTGTATATAGTTAGAATAGAGAAGGCTTCTTGATGTCTATATGTAGACACATGTATGTACATATGAATTGGTGAGTGATTGCTTTTTAGACTACCCATCAAGAGAAACAAGAGCGTATTAATAACAAGAGAAGAAAACATTTTTGTCATTGTTGTCAAAGCAGACATATAAAAATGACCTTGTAAACGCAATTAGAATACAGCATAACGCTTTTCTTCTTCTTTTTATTTTCTTTTGCATTATTATTATTATGACATACTGAGAAATACATAAGGGTCAAGCAAATATAGTTATTCATTTGTATTTTTTTTTTATCTGTTAATGCAATAGTGTACTATGCATATATTTCGATTATAAACCATTTTCTCTTCGTCAATGACAAGAGAATCGATAATAACAACAACAATAACAATAATTATCCTGAGTTATAAAAAAAAAAAAGTTTTATGTGTATACATATATATATTATATATATATATCATCAAAATTTCGTTGCATTGACAAGGATAAAACAATCACTATAACTCGGCATTTATCATGATCTTATCGAGCTAATATAAAGTTTATTTCAGCAGATGTAAATGGATACGTATGTATTTTTAAATCAACTTTTAACCTTCAATGTGGAATATTATTATGAAACAACGGATATAAACGTGTGAATGAGTAAAAGAGTCATGTTCCACTGCACTTAAGTGCCAGCATACACTCGGGCGTACGCACGTACCCGCGCGCGCGCACACACACACACATGCAGCGTCGTTTTTCTCTTTCGTTCTCTTATCTTTGAGACTTGATCTTTCAGACAGGTTGCTATCATAAAAAAACCAGAGAAAGAATGAAAAGAAAAAAAAAAACGGCGGTGGTCTTGATGTCAAGTCCGACTGTTCTACATCCGCATTCAACAATCTCTCCCCGTTTTCTGTCATTTTTGGTCATTATTATAGATGTATATATATTGTCGTCGCGCATTTTTTCTTTTTCTTTTTATCTCGGACTCCTGTGTATACTTTTTCTCTCGTCTTCTTTTTCATTGTAAGACATAGCCATAAGACAACATAAAAAAAAGAAAGGAACTAAGTTGTCAGCCGAAGGCTGTTTGTCGATAATATTTTTCGCCCAACATTATTACTTTTTTTTCGCACTCTTTATTGTCCAATAATCTGTTACTATTACCAAATTAAACGACACCAAAAACAATCTGTTCGTTTATGTAAGGAAAAAAAAATCGATTGATTCTTTTTCGTTTCTGTAATATTGTTACAGGTTAGATAATTGATGATATAAAATTTTGCATACTTCTTTTTATAGTTTCTTGAGAACCAAAATGAAACATACTAGAAATAACCTTGTCTCTATATTGCCAAGTAAATGCTTGTAATATCAAAGTCAGTATATGTATATATATGTATATTTCTACTACCTTGCCTTTTTCACCTTAGTTTTCACCACATTATATGAATCGTAGAGTGCTTTAACAAATATTTGACAGCGTAACATTGAAGAAAAAAGAAAAGAGTCGAAGCAGCAATAGGATGTTACAATTTTTATCGATAAAAAAAAAACGAAGAATTGAAAAAGAGAATTGATTGAAGGTGAACGAGTCATAAACATAGACGTGTGCATTTTAGTTGAGCAGACAAATATATACATACACATTCTTCAACAGTTAGAGAATTGTGAATATGTATCATAGATGTTAACATATTGTTATTGCAAGGTCAGTTGTAATCTAAATCTATTGATTTTGAGTAATTTGTAAAAGAAAAAGTAAATACGTTTCGAAAAGGCTTCTATTGACACCAGACATTATAATAAAAGGAAGAAATAAATCCCAGACACTCATCAATCATTCAGTTGTACTATATTAATATACATAACAGAATGGATGTTACTGAAATGTCTATCAACACAATTTATATTCTAGATGTGGATGTTTGACTGAGCATAAAAATAAAGTAAATATATTATGGATCATTTCGATTACGGCAATACAGCATTTGTTAGTCGTCTGAATTCATTGGAAGGAATACAATTTGATGGACGAGCATATGCACTTTATGGTATGAAAAAAATATCGATTTGCATGAACTTTTTCTTTTATCATAGGGGATATTATATCTTTTTTTTTGTTTTTTTAGATGCCAATTTTAAAATTCATAATACACTTACGATAAATTTTCAAATACAAACATTTGCTCACGATGGTTTAATTGTATGGATCGGTGATTCTTCATCAGAATCAAGTTTTACAGTTGAAATTCAAAATCGACAGGTTCATTTTATTTTTTAAATTATTTTTAATAGACAAAAAGTGATATTTCTTGACGGATATTTCACACACATATATATATCATTGAAACCCTATAAAACATATTCATATGTTGACATTAAAATTTTTTTAATATTTATTGTCATATTTTCATTGTCGAATGTGATAATTTGACATTTGAAATAGTTAACTAATCATTTTCTTACAAATAATTCTATTCAATTTTAATAACTTAAAGGATTATCGCACATAATAGAGCATATTAATTTTCCTTGAGAAAAAAATAGATTATTAAATTTGTTTACTTTGAAAATAGTTTTCAGAATAATTATTTTGATCGATCATATTTATTAAAACAAACATATCGTTCACGTGTTCATTACTTATCATCTCACAATTGAGATAGACGAGATTTTAATATAATTTCATTGATTTTATTTTTAGCTTATAGCTCGAGCTGTTGTTGATGGTCACCCATTTAGTGTTCGCACAGATTTTGTAAAAAATCGTTTATGTGATGGTATTTGGCATTGTGTTCAAGTGCGTCTTGATGGCAGTCTTTTGACAATGAAAATTGATAAACGACAATATACAAAAACAGAACCACGTGTTAATTCAATTAATATACACGGTCCACTTTTTATTGCTGGTCATTCAGAAAAATTTTCACCACCATATTTATCTGTTCGTACGAAAAGTTTCTTTCATGGAAATTTACGAAATTTAAGAATAAATGATCAACAAGTTGATTGGCTTGCACCACGTAATAGTGGTTTAGGAGCTGCAACACCAGAATTTCATCGATATAGTACAAAAACAACATCAAATAATTTTAAACAGTTTCCAAGATCACCAGCAACAATTAAACGTACATATGAAACAACAACATTAACATCATCAAGTGTTCCAAATGATAGAAAATTTCTTTAACATTATATAAATTAAACAAAAAAAAGACAAAACAAAACAGTGATGCAGTTTAATCCGGTTTTTGTGATCATCCTTTTTCTTTTTTTTCGTATGCTCAATCGCTACAGGAAATAATATATCAAAATTTTTTGTATCTTGTTTTTTTTTTGCATGTTCCGAATGTCCTGTTTATTCTATATTGGTTTTTTATTCAACGATCCTTTTCTCGAACAAGTGCTAGATTAGTGTATTTGGCTTTTTTTTCTTTCATGTATATAAACAAGGACACTTGGGTAATATATTATTACTCCATATGATCAACTTTAATAGACGTTCGTATTCGTATATTTTGATCATCGGAAATGAACTCTGTCTTGGTCAAATCAAAAAAAAAAAGAATTTGAAAGCATCATTAAAATCTGCTAGCTTTGATTATTACATGAAATTAATCATTGCTTAATACATGGAATAAATGAAAATAAAAGAGTCTAATGAATTCATGAGTTTCAATAAATCTATTAAACTCATTAAATATTTTTTTCTAATCAAGATTCAATGAACGAAGTAATCGTAGATTATTCAGAGTAAACAATATGAATTTATAACGACAAATCAATAGTCGATAACGAACTTTTTTCTCTCTAATACTACTAGTGGACAATACTCAACATCTGAAATATGAATTTATTTATCAGATGTGCCATTTTTGACGAATTATTATCTATCAACTAAAATGATAATAAATAATTAAAGAATGATTGTGAGATCATTTTTGAAATTTAACAACTATATATTAGATCATAAAATGAAAGAGAAAAAAACTATTTTGCTAAGCTTAAAACTTTTTTACGGCACAGAAGTAAAAGTGAAAAACATTCCATTATGGTTATAAGACATCTTACTTGTTGTCATCATTAGAAAAAAGAAGTAATGCAGAATATAATGTATGCAAACACTTTAGTTCGTTAGATAGCTAAAGGCATTGTTCAATGGAGTGTTATATGTCTTGTTAAAGTGTCAATAAACGATTGATTATTTACTTTGGCAACAGTAGAATGAGTTATGTTAACAACGGCTTTGAATTTTTTCGAGAAAATACTCATCTACGGATATGTATCAAAAACGAGATCGGTTGCCTCGAATAGTATATTCAACATACTGTCGAATTTATATCGTTCAAAGAATTTCTGTCATGGAAAAAACACTTCAAATTTCAAAAGTCTGGCTTTTTAACACTGTTACTAGGAAAAATTGAGTGCTTTCGCCAAAACGATTTCTTCATGGCTTATCTCAAGTAGAAAACCAGTTGAGTCAGATAGAACTGAATAATATCTATCGACTTGTATTAAATTCGATCTTCTCCATTACCACAGTCGGTCTTCGTCTCATGAAAGATCAGTAACACAGGAGATTATGATACATTTCATGATCGAATATTCTTTCATCAACATATATGAACTGAGAAAACATTTGTGTGAAATAAAACTAAACAGATCTATCAAACGATGTTAATCGAATTCCGTCTATTTTGATAATGTGTGTCATGTTCGACATAATTGTTCTGTATAATTCTGCCAGTTCAATTTACGAATTTAATAATTATTGATAATTTTTAAGTGCTAATTTGGGACTAACATGCAAGTAAGTATTTAATTTTTAGCATTTGATTTTCATATGCACAGCAATTGAAAAATTCCGTCGAATTACATCAGACATACCTGTTTTCTTAGTGGATCCATATTGAAGAATGAATAATTGATTATAAAACATGTCTAAACCCCTGTCTTGCTAATCTTTGGTTAGATAGAAACTGACCAGAGTGATGAAGAAGATCGAGTTTAATACTAGTCTATAGATCTCATTCAGTTCTATCTGACTCAACTGGTTTTCTAGTTGACATAAGCCATGGAGAAACCGTTTTGGTGAAAGCACTCAATTTTTCCTAGTAACAGTGTTAAAAAACTAGACCTTTGACATTTTAAGTGCTTTTTCCATGATAGAAATTCTTTGAAAAATATGCATTCGACAGTATATTGAGACAACCTATTATCGATTTCAGCATAAATCTGCATGTATATATATGTCCACCAAAAAAAATGCGAATGCGTTACAAACTGTACCTTCATTTTAACTTAAACAGAAAGAAGACTACTCAGCAAAATAAAGAAAGAACACATTTGAAATAATTTGAATAAATATGGTAGATATATATCTGGTGGTCCAGATAAAATCGGACACTTTTATTTTGATCATATCTCCCGGTTTTCTCGAAGTTATAATATTAAGTTTTTTGTCAATCGATTCTCCAAGAAATTCTCTACAAAGTTTTAAATTTTACTTAACGCAAAAATTCTTCATCGTTTTGCAAAATCCAATACATTCGTTTACTTCAATTGTCAACACTTTCCCTGACAACATCATAACGATTTCTTTTTACACCACACTTGAGTTCCTTAATTAAGGTCAATATAGATTGTACTCGATTCCAATTTATTCTCTAATTCAATTCATCTCAGATGCAGTAATCTATTGGGTTTAAGCCAGGACTATTGGGTGGTTAACATTCAAATGAAAGAAAATGTGGTATATTTTCACGACAACATTTTTTTATATTGCCATCTCTATGTGCAGGTGCATTGTCTTTTTGAAAAGTTCAATCATCACCTAACACCTTATTTGCATATATGTTGGCTATAGGAAGCACTTTTTCAGAGTATATATGATGATCCACCGAATCTTTATTGAGTATAATCATTGGTGTTAAACTTTAGGCGGAAACACCTAACCACACCATAACTTTATATGAGAATTTTCACTTTCTTTTAATACTATCCTTTCTATCTGCTTCTGCACGACTTACCGCCTAAATATGATCATTTTTGTCAATTGCACATATCATTGATGTCAACATTTTTTTCATCCGAAAAAATAATTTTTCAAGTTTGATCTTTTGTAAAGTTTTTCTCCAGTCTTTTTACAAAAGTTTTATTTTATTGCTTGTGATCATTGGTAATTACAGGCTTGATAGTTAGCTTTTAGGGATAACATCCTAAATCTTCTTTTAATCTTCACCGAGTACTGGTTCTAAATATTTTCAATTCTTTCGCTAATTTCCTTCAGGATACATTTTGTTTATCTGCTCAAGTGCCATTTAACTTTCATGATCATTTCTTTCGTTCTGACAGTGCGCTCATGACGTTTGGTTTCCATTAAATTAATTTCGCCAGTTGTGCTGATCGTTTTTATCCAACGAATTATAGTATCTGTTGCTAAACAACCATTCGAACGAAGAAAAATTTCACGAACACATAACACGTCACCCTGAAAGAAAAGTTACAATTTACGAAGATTTTTACTTTTTGTTATCTAACACATGAATAAGCCACTATACAAAAATCTTTGTAGAAAGTTTTCTAGAGAATTTCTTGGATAATGTATACTAGAAAAAAAATTAGTCTTGTAGCTTTGAAAAAGACGGAAGATATGATCAAAATAGAAGTGTCCGATTTTATCTGAGCCACCTGATATATATGTATTTAAAAACAAAATAATAATAATAATAATAATAATAGTACCCGGGTGTCTGAATGCATTGATATACATCAAAAAAATATTTATGAGACATAAAAATTATCCTCAATTAATTTTGAACCAATCGATTTCTTCGAACAGTTAAAGAAAAACAAAATCTACATATAGAAATGATTATTGTATGTTAATTATGTTGAAATTTATACTTTATAGACGAATGCAATACTTCTCTTGTTAAGATGTAATATAATGATGTTGTATCATAGAAATAGTCATTTAATTCCAGGTTTTCGATATTATGTACGGTGTTAGAAGAATCAGAATATGTTTAATTTATATTTCATGTTTTCCACATAATTCATACCGAGAGATTAGGTAAAATATTTTAGATAATAAAGAAAAGTACATGTTAGTGATAGTTTGATAATTGAATTCAAATACATTTCTGTAAATCTTATGAGCTTTGCCAGGTATTTAAACTATTTAATTTACATTTTTATAGGGATTATTAAATATTGTTTTACAAATTTATGTAATTCCATATAATGGACGTTAACATTTCTTTTTATTTTGATTTAGGTGTCTTGCCTAATTCAATAATGCGATAGAAGTAGTAGCTTGTATCACTTTCAAGTTTACTTGAATGAACATTTCTATTAGTAATGCAATACCAATCAATATGTGTACGTAAGATTCTTGATTACAAATCAACATACAAAACAAGTTGTGGAACGATATGCGTATGCCTAGTTTTACTAATAAATGTAATGTATGATATAGAATAACTTCTCACCACAGTGTTTTCTGTTGCTTTTTATAAGAAAAGAAATGAATTGCCATGATATTGAACAATACTAAAAAACAATTAACTTCATTTTGAATTACATGGACTACAATCTGCAAACATGAAATACTTACACAGACGGAACGCGCAATTGAAAAAAATGATTCTTTGATTTTGTCCATATCTTTACCACAAAATTTCTGTAATGCAAGTTGAACATTCTATTTAAGAGAATAGCATATATATAAAGATATCATGTCGCAAAGACAGATCGATGAATAATTGTATTCACAAATAATTACCAATATGTCTCGTATTGAAATGTTCGTTGCGCTACATTCATACGAGTCATGTAAAATAGATGTAGTCTGTATTAATAATAACCATATGTATATAAATATGCTCAGTGTTTTATACCGATGCGTAGATGTTTGTGTAATAAGATCTTGACATTGATAGCTTTTAGAGTACATAAAAATAGTTCGCACTCTATATTATTCTTAGCACATCAATAACTAAAGATTAATATGATATTCTGACAAAAGAATCTGAAGAAGAAAGAACGTAAGAAACTTAACATCGAACATTATTGTCTGTCGTCTACATTGTGTGATGCCTGGAAACAACTGTATAATTTGGCGTTTAGTACAGATTAATTCAAACATGAACGAAAGAAATTGCAAGAAATTTTGCCCTCTCAGTCATTCATCTGAAATGACTATTTATACTTTGAGAAATTTGTTTGTGTGAAAGCTAGAAACCTTTTTTTTAATAATCTTCTGTACTATTTTCAAGATTATCATGAATAAGAACAGGTACAGTTTGTATAAATTTTCGTTCTCTTTTCAGATCTACTGTAAAATATGTACATACACACGTGTTGATAACAACATATACTGGTAGAAAAGAAAAGAAAAAGAATATTCAATGTGAAAACTTGTCTTGATGTATCATGATGCAGTATAAACCTTTTTTTGGTTTAGGATTATCAATAGCATGAATACGATTATCATGAAATAAAAGACATGATGGACAGGGAAATATTAATATATGAGATTAATTAATATGTATATTATCTGCAGATTTAGTACATAGTTTCCTGTTTATGAACTTCTTCCTTGCATGTATGTTTTGCACTATTGATGTTGTTATCTAAATCAAAACATAAATAGTTCTTCTTTTTTTTTAATACTAATTGTATATCAAGTAAATACTGACTTGCAACATCCATAGCAGTATCTACTCGAGTATCTGTACTTTGATTTCAATCTTTGAGTTTCCTAAATAGCTTTTTTACTGGAATCCACAATAATTTCTTACACGTTTTCATTAGAAGCCATACAAGTATCTGCGAGTTTGTCTCTTGTTCAAATAGAATATGTATGGGAAGAGAAAAGATATGGAAGTCTTTGAAAATAAAACTTTTATTACTTATACGTAAGGTACTTATACTATAGTTGAATACTAAAGACAAGTATTTTTCAATGGCATAGCAAAGAACAGAATAGATTGCAAAAGCGATAATGAAGGGAGTTTTCTTTTGAAAACGAGAGGTATACGTTTATTGACATGATACATTTCATCATATAATTCTAATATTTGACGACTCTTTTTTATCATTAAACCTTAAGTAGCTAGTAAGACAACTATTATGTTTATTCTTATTTATTTGTAATTTATTTATAAAGCCAATGAACCGATTTGTTTACCAGAAAAAGATGAGAGACAGAAGATGAAAAGTACTGAATAAATCGCATGTAATATTTGGTACGTACTGATTGATCGCTTGCATTATAATAGAGATGATCATTGCTTGGTGCTTGTATACATGACATCATGGAAAATAAAATGAATATTGCGTACTTAATAAAGTTACGATTATATACAAGATAGTTCGTTCGTTTTGGAACAAACTTAACTCTAATGGTAGTCAAAAAAAATACTTATCAGAGATGCACGAATAGTATTCACAATTGTGTAAGTATTAACAGTAAAATTATGATTTTTTAAATACGTTTGATATATAAAAAAACTTTGAAATATTTAGCAATGAGAACAGATTAATCATCTCCTAGAAATGTATATCAATTATATATTCATAACACTTATTTCCTAATTTACTTCTTGTGATATTGTCTAGAAAGGAAATAATTAGCAGATAACTTTCTCCATTTACAATAATACTGAAACTATTTTGATGAAAATAAATCAAAAGTATTATTAGAGTTTGACATTTATTGTTAAAGTGTATTTAAGAATAGAATATGTTTCATCTGTAATAATTCGACAGATTAAAAAAAGCAACTGCACTACAACATTAAGCTATGATACATAAATCATTATATATAGTTATTATAACATATTACTATTAATAGAAGTTAAGCACAAGAATAGAATTAAAGATTCTAGATAAAAATCAATGTACTGCTTGTATATGAAGATAAATTAGAACTTATATCATTTGCACGATAATCTGTCGAAAGTTAGAATACAAAGAAGTTCAGAAAAACAAATATAACATGAAAAAAATCTATATCGCACTATTGATCTCTTGTCTTCCAATTTAACAAAAATTATCTTTTCTCGCTGCAATT